ACTGCAGATATAAACTAACTGGAGCAACGGGACTTCCGCAACCTGTGTATTACTATCTCAACTCTTTCGCCCACTGACGAGCGGTTGACATCTCTCTCTTACGCCGTAGCGGACACAACCAGCGGGATTTGACGGCGACTCGACAGGAGCATCGGCCATAATACAACGTCAAATGAGAGGAGCCCGGTCAAGGTCGCCGACGCCGCGTCGAGATGGTAAACACCATCCTGCACCCACCCTTTCCTTTGATAGAGGTAGTTGGCACCGCAAGATAGTAGGTGCGACGGGCGCTCGATCGGTGGCAAGCCGTAGCACAGCCGGTTGTGCACATACATGGCAATGGGGTCACCGAGGGCGATCGCAACCAGCAAGAGAAGGCGCGAGAGGCGTCCAATGACAGCGGTGCCGCTGAAGCAACTCAGTTGCAAGTCGACAACGTCGACGGAGCAGTTCAAAGATAACTGCACACTGTGCGCGACAGGCGCCAAAAGACTCAAAAGCGCCGCCACTGCCCAGATGAGCAGCACGGTCTTGTTGGCGTACGAGGCTGCGTACTGCTGCGTGGCAACCATGCCAATCTCATCGGCGATGTAGACGAGCCAGCCAAGCTCGCCGGCCGCGAGTTCTTTGGTGCAGAGGGCCAGGATTGGCGAGACGTCGTGGCGGGCCGAGACGAGGTACGTAGCGGCACCGGCGACCTGGAGCTGCAGCGTCGCCGTGCTTAAAGTGCAAAGCGCCGTGAGCCGAGCAGCAGCGGCCGCCCGATCCAGACAATGCCGCCGACGCGGTTGATCTCGAACAAGTTGCTACCTTCGATCGCAATGCGACTGTGCACCGTGATCGCCGTGCACGCAATCGACAATAGAACGAGTGAAATGTACTGGCAAAAGACTCGGAGGTAGGCGGCCACGTTAATCGGGACTTCGGCGGCGCTCGCAGCAAAACGTCGTCGTCATCTCGCCCGTTGAAATCACGGTGAGCGATCCGTTGCCGCCCTCAAATGCGACGACCTCGCGGTACCCGGCGACCCAGTCGAAGACATAGGTCCAGCCCGTAAATTGCATTGGCACGTCTCGAGCGTCAAAGATCGGCTGATGAAAAAGCGAGACAGCGTTCGTTTGTGCGTCTTGGAGGTAGGTCATGAGGTGCACGTCGAGCGCGTTGACGTCTGCTTGTACGAGCCTAGCCCGTGCATACGTCCCATGCAGGTACGCTGGCGAAAAGACAGTTTGAAGAAACCCCGAAATGTTGACAAGCATGGCGCGGCAGTCGTCGGGCGCGACGACTTCGACGGCACACGCCATCGCCACCTGCGTCGCTGGGTCGCGCGTGGCGCCCGATGCGATCAACGCAAAGATGAGTTGCCGTCTCGTCGTGTACACCCACTCGCCAAACCCTGCGCTGCAGGAAACATTGAAGCCAAAGTACTCGAGGAGCCAATCGTGAGGTTGATGGGCGGCGAGAGGGCGTTGCAGAGCACATTGCTGCCGGCCGAGTAGTGCGTGGTCGGATTGAGCGCCGATGGGACCGATACAAGGCTCTGCATGGTGCGCAGCTGGCTGTACGCTCTCTGCGCAGTGTATGCGCCACTGGCGTCGTCGGTCGTATTGGTGAGAATATTTGTCAGCGTTTCTTGTATCTCTTGCACAAGCCCCGCGAGCGACGCTGGAAACGCGACGTGGCGGAGGTCCACGGACCCAAACGCGCCAATGGCCGACTCGAACACGCTGTAGGCTGCGTCGAGCGGTGTCGACGTGTCGACAGCGTCCCGTTCAGAGCGTAGACGCTCTGCGGCGTCGTATTGACAAAGGCAAAGCGGGCGCTCGATCGAAGCAGCGAGTGCCCGCCTAAAGTATGGTTGGCCTGGATCGCATAGAGGTCGCTCGCAAGTGTCCAGTACATCTTAAGCGACGTGGAGGATGTTGCGAGTCGGAACGCGCCGTCCGATGCCTGCAGCGTAAACGGGTACGAGAGCCCTAATGCGGTTTGGATTGAAAATGCGTTGTGCAGCCCGATCGTCTTGTAGTTTTGCCACGCGGTGGTATACGAAGCGAGTCCTTTCCCTCGCCAGTAGGTCAGCTCGTCGATGTCGGACATGCCGTTTCCTTGCACGGCGGCGAGCCAAGCAACACCCGCCGCCTCCTGCTTCACGTCGTTGGCAATACCAATCGCGAACGCGTCGCCCCAGCACACTGGTCAGTGCATATTGCGCAACGGCGCCTCCAGATAGACGGCAGCGTTGGCCGCATAGTGGGCTGCACATCGGGCCTCGCGCACGCCCGAGTTCGCCATGGACCAGCGCCGATCCAAGTCGAGCCAGCAGTACTGCGTGGCGATCCACGGCAACAGACACGGATCCGTCTCTCGGAGTCCGCGGATCGCGAGACGCAGCTCGCGCGCGACTTAAAATTGGATGCGGCGCGGCAGCATGTTTGTGATGGGTACATATGTTGTGTTGCTCGCATACGAGTTGAGATCGGCGTACTTGCGCGTGTCCAGGGCTGCCTCGAGCGCCAGTGGTGTGAGCCAGAGGTACGTGTTGAACCACGTCGCTAGGTATGTCTGCATACGGGAGCTGTTGAACGAAACCCACCAAAGATCGTTGGCTAACGTCACCGACGACAGCTGGATGTAGTACAAGCTGCCTCCGACCGTCGCAAGGAGGTAGAAGAGTCCAAGAACGATCTTGACGATTGCCACGCGGCGCCACGTACTCGGTCGACGGACACGTTAACGTCCCCACCACCGCGCTGGTTTTCATTGGAAAACAGAGCCAGAGTTTGGTATCAAACAGCCACTGCGATCGACGCCAGTGCATCCGAAAGACGCCCATCATGCAGCCAAGCGCCGGGTCGACACCCCATGCATCATGACCAGGGAGGTTTAAGAATGCCTCGGCGGCGGCCGACGTCAGCATGGAGGGCGGGGCGAGGAGCGTTTTCGGGTGCAGATTCGACCGATAAGGACGCTTATGATACTGATGGCGCTGTGGATGCTGACAATGAGCCAGATGCGCGACATGGAGCCAAAGTGGATAATGCCACTTGCACACTGCAGCGAGAGCACGACACCGGTTTGTGTGCACGTGCGATCGATCTCAAACGACGGCTGCACCGGTGAGAGCAGCGCGAGACCGAGGGTCCCTGCCCACGCGAGATAGCTGCTCCGCGCTACCAGAAGTGCGGCGTGGTGCGGCACAACCACGAGCAGCACGTCCATGATGACGTAGCTGATGCCTCGCCCGCGACGACGGCCGCGTCAAGCAGCGATCGCGGGGTCGAGACAAAGCGGCCACTTTGCGTGGTAGAGGCAAATGTCACAGCCGGCGAGCTCAAGACGACAAGGGCTGTGACGGCCCGGACGAGCAGCATCGAACGGCCGATCCAGACGAGACCTGCGACGCGATGAAATTACAGGAGCTCAAAGTGGTCGAGTTGAGAGCCGCCGAGAAGCGTGTAGGCGACGGTACCAATTGCAACAACCACCAAGACGCGTGTGGCGGCAACTGCAACGTACCAAAGATACGCGCACGTGCTGGCGGGGACTTCGAGGGAGCTCGGGGCCATCGCAAGACTCGTCATCGGCTCGGACATGAGCACCATGGTTGCACCGTCGCCTTGGAACGAGACAACTTCGCGGTGGTCGTACACCCACTCGTAGACCATGGCCAAGCCATAAAAGACATAGTCGCCCTCCAGTAGCATCTGATGGAGCACTCTAAAGTGGCTGCTGTTGTCGCTTGCAAACTGGATGATTTCAACGCCAAGTGCAGCGACATCGTCCACGGCCTGGCGCACAAAACGTGTCTGCATCGTGGCGTGCAGCCCCGCCGTAAGTCGTTCTTTAGTGACGGTGAGCGCGTCGACACACGAGGACGCTGTCTGAACGCACTGGCTGCAAACTGACGCGACGAGGCGGCTGCGGTTCGAATCCATGAGATGGATTGCTGTCAGTGCAAACACGTGCGACGACGCTGGTAACTTCATTGCGCTTGCGACTTTGTCGGCACAGGCGTCCTCGAACGAAAACGACCTTTGGACGTAGGTCGATCCGGCGTAGCCGACACAGACGGGACTGCCACCGTAGTACGTCCGATTTGGTCCGAGCTACGCAGGTGGTATCGGGTCCAGTTGCACGGTGCCGCGTTGTACATACTGTCGTTTCAGCGTCGCGTTGGCGAGCAAAGCGCTGGCGAGTGTGGCTGAATACGACGCGACTAGCTGCTGCAGCGAGTACGGTGGCGCAACCAAGAACATGTCGATGGACCCAAACGGCCCGAGGTGGTCATGCACGAGCATGCTAGATGGCGAGGAAGGAGACACGCCCACGATCATTTCAATGCTAACCGAATGTCCGACCGAATTGTTGGCCATAAAGCTAGGCGCACTGCGCACAAGGCTGCCGTTGGCGTTCGAGGACGCTTAAAGGTCGTTGAAGAAGTATCAATACGCGACCGACGTTGTCCAGAGAGCATCTAGCACGACGATCATCTATCCAACTTGAATGGATAGATAGGGATAGGTGTACCTCGCGTGGCGTAGGCGATCTTGGAGGACGAGAGCCATTGCGTCCAGCCAAATGCATTTTGAATGGCAATGGTTTCGTGCAGACCCGTCACGTAGCTGTTGCCCCACTGCACTGTATAGTGCGAGAGACCGTGCGCATGCCACAGCGCCGCCTCGTCGTCGATCGAGACAAAGCCGTCTTGAACACTTTCGAGCCAGGTCGCGCCGTGCGGGGACAAGAACACTGCGTCACCAACTGAAAACATAAACGACGGACCAAACCGCGAAGTGAACTGCGCCCAGTCGACGCTGCGAAGCGCCGGCTCCAAGTACAATGCGCCATTTGACCGCATTACAGCTGCAGCGCACCGCTTATGGCGCGCCTGCGTGTGGGCGAGCTCTCATTGCCGCCCGAGATCGACATAACAGGGCTGCGTCATGGTTTGAAAAATGACCCAGAGAGGCATGTTGCAGCAATCCCAGCGCGGACCGATGTGAGGTGCAACGAGAGAAGAGCCCGAGGGTACGATGCCTGTATCTCGAGCCTCGTGGACGGCGTGTTGCACGTCTGCAAACGCGCACACGAAGTGTCAAAGACGTCGATCGGGCCTCGAGCTGTTGTCAGAGACGCACTCGGTAGAGATCCAAGAGGTACGTTTGGGCATGGAGGGAAAAGCCAGTCCAAAAAAAGTCGTTCTGGAGGTAGGGAAAGAGGATCGAGAGGTACCAGACGCTGCACGCCATCGAAAGCACGAGGTAGGCGACTTCCACCAGACACGGGACGCGCCGCATCGTGGCGTCCGTTCCCGCGTGTCGTTGTTGTTGAAGTGGGTCGTCTATTACAATAGATAAAACTATGCTAAATAAAATTGTCGGACTTTCTTCGTTGTGTGTACTCGGTTGAGGGACTTGATTTAGGCAGGCGGAGGCAGGAGCGCGATCCGCGGGACGAGGTGACGTCGCGGCCACTCGTGTTGGGC